GGCTGTTGGTGCTCAAGAAGCATTTGGACAACATACTTAGACACACGGTTTAATTTTTAGGTTGCCCTGTGTAGAGACAGGAGTTGAACTCCATGATCCTCATGGAACCCTTCCAACTCAGGATATTCAATTGTAGTTTTTCCTTTGAAACTGGTCCTCCACTTAAATTCTGGGTGTATGCTTTATTGCCAATCCTCAGTTAAGATCAGAAGGACAAACATTTTCAACCCACAGCAGTAACTGACTTTAATGGAGCTTTTACAGCAAAAGACCAAAAAACCGAAAACACCCAACGCAAAACCAAAACAACAGAGCATTTCCTATTGAAATAATCACTATTTCATTCAAGAGATGAAATAGAAAATATTATAACACCTGACACAGGACAGATGATAAAAGACAAATTTAAAGGAGTGGGCGTTCACTATGAGAACAGAAGGCTTGAGATGGAATTTGGCCAGAACACCCCTCCACTTATGAAGAGAGCAATACATCTCTAGCAATCTTCAGTTTATTTTACATAAAGGTCATTCAATGGGCCCCAGATGACAAAACTAAGTACACAACAGAAAAGAAACAGAAGAAAAGACAAAAATATATCTCAGAAAGCCTTGGCAATATAGTTCCTTACACAATTTCCAAAGAGGAGGCAAGCACTCATAAGTATTTAATATGATTATGCATGAGAACATTTATGGCCTTCCTATATTATGTTTGATGCTTTAAATTGGCATCGTAGGGTGTAGCATACTGAATTCTTGCGGAAAACAATTCCTTTACCCTGCTGGAAAATGTAGTATTTAAAATCTACATAAACCCTGCAAGACAGGTTATGGTTGCATGCTCCAATATGCAATAGTCAATGTTTAAACAACAATTTTCAGTACTCAGTTTGACCCCGATCCTGGATGCACAGTTGTTTTTAAGATTGATGCACTTCCTGAAAACAAAACCCATTCATATAATGTTTCAAAGGCCAATATTATGCACTGAGGAGTTCTAGTTCAGCCCCTCTGCTTTCACTTCAGCTTCATATACCCAATCTCTGTAGGCTCCAAGGCTGCTAGAAACCAAGGTAAGACAGTCATGCATAACTTCAGACTAGATTTTAATTCTTACAAGTTCAGCATCTCTGAAATACCTACAGCTACCCTACAGAAGATCTACCATTTTCTCTGTATCTAAAGACAATACACTTTTCCTCCATACCTAATACTTTCTTGTGCAACCCTTCAGGTAATTTCTGTTACGTACTCATCATATGTAAATAACTGCATCTAACTCTGACTGGTTACCTGCATTTGCCAGCCACTTTTGGGGGGATGGAGCAATCCCTCACAACATGCTTAATCTCTGCTGGAATGAAGCACAAGCAAGTTAATGAGGGCTTGAATGATGGAGGGCACACGTTCAGACCATTCTTTGAGAAACCGCTTCAAAAAATGGGTGCAAATGGATCCTCTGCTTACTCTAACTGGTAGATCTCATGTCTTACAATCCTAACCAAAGGACAGGACGAGTGCAGCAGCCCCTCTGATACCCAGCTCCAAGAGAACAGAGAAGACGAGGGACAACTCAGCTGGTCCTCTCCTTTCCAGCACAAGCTGTGGGAGTTGAGAAGAGACCACACAGCAGGCCATAACTAAAGCTGTGTCTCTACCGAGGCTGAAATTTAGGTCAATGGACAATAACTTCCTCTAGGAGTAACCACACTGCAAGTGTTAATACTCTACACAGATTACCCCAGTGACAGAAAAGACAACTTTTTATGTTCCTTCATGCTTGTTGTTCTTCAAGGGCTGTATTTCTCAATATACTTGACCTTTGCCTTCCATCACAATAAATTTGAACAATCCAAGTTGGAAGAAAACAGTGAATTAAATCTCAAATCTTCTGAGCTGTTTGACCTTGCCCTTTACATCTTCCTATATCTTATATCCCACTTCATTACAAGGAATGCAAATAGCCATTTTTTTCCCTTCTTCTGTTCATTAGAAATACAGAAAGCACAAGACAACCTTTTATTAGAAAAGCAGCAGTGCGGTCTGTCAAACAGCAAGTAGGGAAGCAGGGGAAGCAGTGGGTAAGATAAAAGCAGTAAGGGCTGAAAGTTTAGGAAATCAGATATCATTACATGTTTTTCTACATGACATAGAGAAACAGAATGAAATTAAGAGAATTAAAATGAAGTCTAAATGTCTGGAAAGTGACCAAACAGCAAGATTTATTTCTGCATGATTTATTCAACTGTTAAACAGTTTCAGTTATGCAGTAGGAGATAATATGCTTAAATAGCTAAAAGGTCACTAAAAATACCTCACAAAAAGTAATCCTTCACTATCAGCAGATGGGCTTCATCTTCTCTGACACTGTGCCTTAACTACACAGACTCCAACATTAATTTTAGACACGAGTGTGAATTTGTGACAGAAAAATCTCAGATCTTCCTGCTTAAGCAGTGTAATTTCTGACAAGCTGAATGCTAAGCCTTCTTTCCTTGTCACGGAGAAACACCCCATACGCTGCTTGGAACAAACAACGCAAAGCAAGAGGAGTGTTCGCTTCAGTCGCCTGCCGATATTTAATTTCTGCAGCTACCCTCTCCTGGGGCTGCCTGCAGCCAGTAGCCAGACAGCCCTTGCCAAGCAGACTTCAGGCAGCCCTACTCCAGAGCTCTGAGCTGTGTTCTGAGGATCTCTCTCTGGAAGCTTGGCCAACCAGCTGGCCAAACCCAACACCCAAAGTTTAGTGCTGCAAGTTCTCTCCTCACCCTATCAAATCTTTGTTGATACAGATGGTCACAGTTCCAGCAATTTAAGACTGCATCCATTAACGCAGGATAAAAGGGTATTTGAACTGTTCCTCACAATCTTTGTGTCTGGACCACAATCGCAAACTATGTTGAACAGACCAAGACCTGATGAAATACATAGTTGAATTACCACACTGTGAAACTTAGCTTAAATAAAATCTACATGCATAATTCTGACCTATTCGGATCTTTAAACAATGCATTACTCATTTGTTAAGTGTCAAGCCTTCCTTTCACTGCCTCTTTTGCCACATGAGCATTTATTTCAACATGTGTCACAACTGCTGGGCTGGTTACACTCATAAATGGCTTCAAGAGCCCTTGGGTTTTCACCTCCAGTGAACTCTGCCTTTCTCAGTCTTCTGCGATGGAATGATGTGATTCCACCCTTTACCTTTGTAAGGTACAGCCCCTGTACCTTATAAAAACCATTACATGTGTTCTATGCCATCTTAGGAGCAGAGATCAGTTGTGGCAAAAACTACACAGCTTTTACGATGTATGTTTTCATTTAATATTAGAAACGCTGACTGCAATTCCAAACTGCAACTCTCTGCATTCTACACCAAAAACTATGCAGAGCTAATTTTCAAACTTTCTTGAAAGAAGTGATGAGTAAACTAAAAATTATTTTAACAGCCACTTGGGAGCTTGAGTCATAGAGATTTCGCCATTGAACTCAAATTCTTCTAATTTATTTTGTTTGCTCTTAACTCTACCAATACATTTAGACAGGAATTCCCAAAGTGCACATAAAAAGACAATTTAAAAAAATTATTTTGCTTTTCCTTGTCAGAAGTTTGCAATGTTGTGCTTCCAGTAACTCTCATATCCATGCATTCCCACACACACTACTGTCTTTTGAGTATTCTTTCTTTTGGAGAGGAAAACAATTATTTTCAAAATATACTTTATCTTTTTGCACTAACACAGTAAATGCTTTAATCCGGAAACTCACCTTCATCATCCACCAGCAACATCTTAAGATAAGGCAGCAGTGTAGTCTCTAAGACAAACTTTAGTTTAAATGTCTCCTTTCTGCATGTTCTCTTCCTAATCAATGGAAAATATATGTTCCTTAAAAACCCAGAAGGCAGCATCTAGCCTAAGTATGTGGAACTGGTTCAATATATTACAAGGAACCCCGTTTCAGTTATTTATCTTTAAAGAAATCTACTTCTTTCCACCGGCTATGGAGGAAGCCTGGGGAGATAGTCTCATTAGGCACTTAATCTAATCTAAGTCTTACTAGGCAACTCAGTATTATTCCCAAGTGAAATTTTACAAAGATCAGTACAAATCCTACATCGAGACACTTGTCTCTTCTCGGAGATACCACGCATCTTCCAAGACTGATGACTGAACTGAACTCCGTACGTGCTTCCCACATCTAAGATCCCGAAGTGGGTTCACCGCAGACAAGACGGGGGTGAAGGTGCTAATGCAGCACTGCATCACACCAGGGACTTAACAGGAACCTTTTCACTCAAGTGTGTTCTTGCACCTGGAAATAACTATTCTTGCTACTGCTGCAAGCTTCACTAGCACATAAAACACATTTTCAGCACAAGCACCTAGGAACTGTGCCCAGTGAAAGAACCCAGTAAAACTACTGAGTCCAGTAAGGAGTCTCAAGAAACCAGGGGACCCCCAGTAGTTCCAGAGCAGCTTCTGAATATACTAGAGGGACAAAGAACTCAGAATCATTGGTATCTGAGGACAGACACCAGAACACAAGGCCAAATTTGCATACAGAATTCAGTATCCATCTCTAGAAATTATACAGCATCTGGGTGCTACACAGGAGTCCTTTTCCCCCAGGCATCCTCTGTCAAAGCTTTCTGCAGAGACAAATTCGTATTAACAGAGGGCAAAGGAAGAAACCTGTATGAGCACAAGTCTCCTTATTCTCATAAAGGCACTTAAACAGCCTGAAGGCCTTTCGTTGTTATACTCCTGCTCTGCTACCAACGCAGCAACACAAAACTGATCAAAAGTTTAGCAAAACAGCAAGAGGAAATGGAAGAGCAACTCAACTCCCATTCAGCTCAAACAATAGCTTTAGCACTAAAATTTAACACAGAGCCCCAGTCGTTGCCTCCATCTGATCACCTGAGCTACATTTCTGACCATCTGCTCCATTAGACTCCCTGTCAGCATATGGGGAAAAGTAAAAACCCCAACTTACTGAAAGCAGTTTGGTCCAAATACAGTGGCAAGGTTGCAAAGGTTCATCCTGTTCTCCACATGATGCTCAGCAACCTTTATCAGGAACTGGCACAGGTACTTCAACAGGCAGTAATGAGCCTCAGGTAGTTCTTTAAGGAGTACTTTCAAGTAACTTTCCTTCTGCATGTCGTTTCTTGTGTCTAGGAAAAACAGGAGAAGAAAAAACATATCTGTAACGGTTTTCTCCATTGCCACCAATTTACTTACATGGGCCAGCAGTAGGAGCAAAAATTCAATCCTGCTTCTGTTCAGAGACACAGAATTCTCCAAACCCCTCAGTTTTCCTCAGGGAATGCACACCTTTCTCCTGAGCCCACCACTGGCACCATTTCATGCTTACCTTTATCTTGTAATCTTTTTCCTGAGCAGATTGAGCAGTTACTAACAGTCAGCTAACAGCTTTAGAGCATGTTTATTCCCACCCGGTACATAGCTAAATCTACTCTAACTCCAGTTCCACCAAATCTCCTGATTCCATGCTTCTTCTGGATGTCATCCCTACTTCCCACACCCTTCTCATACTCATAGTTTTCCTTCCCATGAAAACTTTGAAAAATAAGAAAGCAAGAACAGTAAACAAAGGAGTCTTCTGAAATGCAGACAGTACTTTCTGGGGGTACATTTTATGAAAAAGTCGATTTTGTATCTTTTGTCAGAGGGACAACTCTACAAAATCTTAGGTGAGGCACCTTGCTTAAGAAAAAAGGCTGTTCATGGCACTGTTACACTCTAAAATGAGCTAAAACTTTGCCTAATGTTGCAGCCTTGTTATACTGTACAATCTTCTAGAATTTAGGTTTGGGTAAAAGTTTCCCATACTAAACTGACTACTATCCAAGTATGACTAAGGTATATTTTCTTTTATGCAGGTTTTTTGTCGCTTTTCTGTTTTAAAGCAAAAATTTTATGAACTTCACAGATGCTGTACAGACCCAGGTGGTGAACACAAGCTTGGCCTCACACAGAGCTTCTGCATAGTTGTGTTCTGCTGCTGGAATTGAACTCGCGTGCAAAATTCTTTGCTCCCCTCCTCTACCCCAAAAACACACTTCCCAAAAAGTGTCCAATTTCCACCACGATCTTGAGGTTTGCATGTTAACAAAAGCAAAGTTTTGAAAACAAATCAGCATTGATTTCCCTTTATACCAAAACAGGATGCCTTAATGCTTGGAAATATTAATTTCTACTCTTCACCAAAATGAAATGTCACTGAAACTTTCACATATGCACAAAAACCCCAAGGACTTTGCAACAGCATTTTCAGACACAAGACCTCAGGCCCTAAAGGTTTTCCTCACCAATCTAATTATAAGCAATGTCCATTAGCACAAGGCCATCTGTGCATTACTAGCACTTTTTTCCTTTTTTATCAGCCTTATGGGTTGCTGGTGTCAATGCTTTAAGACTGTTGTTGCATAATAGCTTTTTCCTTAGAGATGTACTGTGAGGTTTAAAAGCACTTCTAGTGGTTGGAAGGATGTCTTTATTCCACAGAGTTGAAGTGAGCTCGTGCTAAATGCTGACCTTCTCTGTTCTCTGTAACAGGCTGCCTTGTCCCAAAGTAGCTGCTGGCTTACCATGGGAATACAGACATCCTCCCCATGCTTAGGGTAACAAAGTGTTTTTTCATTCAGAGGATGATCCTTATGATCCTTAGAAAGGAGATTCACACAGCATTCAATCAAAACCAAATCTTGCTCAGTCTTCAAGATTTGTTTTCAGTCAAGCAGATGTAACAGAGGAGTCTGCATCAGAAGCAGTTGAGCAAATAGTTGCTGCTTCTGTTGCCTGCATGAAGAGAAGACTGGCAGAAAAACATCCAGTGCAGCTGCAGGAAAAAATAACATTTTACATTTCCCCAACATTTCAGAGGGAAAAAAAGGAGGGGAAAACAAAAATCTTTGAACACAGATTAAAATATGTATAAACGGTTCGCAAGTTTCATCTTTGCTTTTACTTTTCATTTCCCAGAAATATTCCAGGGCTGGATTGAACAGTATTCCAGGAGTACGGTGCTTTGAAAAGTGGTTAGGAGTGAAAATTAGTAGTCTGTATAAAAATATCTGAAGGTGACTCCTGATAACTCAACCACTAAGTTGCAATGTTATTTCTGGTTTATAATCAGTCATTTTCTGTGGCTAATAAACAGGATTTATCCTAGGTATAGTTTCAGAAACAAATGAGTTTTCTATATACATACTTGCCACTTCATACAGCTGAACTTGACAGATTTCATCTGCTTCCAAGCTTACAATCCCTGCTTTATATGACATGCATACTACTATATATGGTGAGAGAAGCCTTTTTAAGTTTTATACGCATGGTGAATTCATTTTTATGTACCTGTTTTGGTACCACCAACTTGATAAGGAATTCTTTCATGACAGCAGACCAAAGCTTAAAATGCCAGTCAAATTACAGGACCAAACATTTCAACCAACTGATTAATTATATCCTTTTCTTGTACAGCTAAGAAATTAGCTCCTTCAGAGAACTCAAATATCAAATATGCATGAAGCAGATGAGAAAAAAATCTTGCTTGTTTATCTCAAGCATTTCTTTCAAAATTTTTTGAAGCTGTATAGAATATAAAACAGTCATGACTTCATTGCTATCAATCAGTTTGGTAAGAGTAAGAAATCTGATTTATTATTTTATTTCTGCAGTAAAATTTCAGGATGCTTCTGAAGGCTGTATCACATGGAATAACAATAAGGAATTTAGGTGCATTTGTGTTTGCACTGATCAAAGTGGACTGTACAGTCTCTGACTCGATTACTAATTATCTTTCTACTAAGCTTAAAGAAAAACAAAACTAACTAATTTCCGCATAGTCAGAACATTAAAATTCACCTCCTAACATAATTCTCTTTAGATAACAAAGCAACTAGCACAGAGTGTTTTCTACTACAAATTGCTCGAAGTTATGATAAGGAAAGCCAAAGTCATCTCTCAGAAAAAATGCACCTCTTCCACCACCATCACCCCACCATCTAATTAGGAAATGCCCTTGAGAACTAATTGCCTCTCTGAGTCTTCCACTGGGGCTTTAGATTGACAGGTACTTTTCCATTTACTGAAGGATTTTCCCTTCCAAAGTAGAAAGATGCTAATAACAGCCACAAAAGATTCCAAACACAGGTTTGCACTCTGACAACAAATAAGGCTATCAGGCTCATGGCCTCAGCTGTATTTGGTAGGTGGGATGTCCTTGTTTATTAACCACAATATGTTATGTGGTGCAAATCAACACCGCAGATGTTTATCGCTGGGCACAGCCAAACCTTTGTTCGTTTCTGTACTTTCAAGTACAGAGACAGATATTAGATCTAAGATCTTGAAAAATTACCCCTAATTGAAGGACACAGAGACACTCAGCAACATGAGGCAGCAAACCCCATTTACTGAGCCATGAAATTCCTTGTCCTTGTGAAATGGGAGAAAGAAAATACGGCTTTCCTATTTCTTCCTTTTCCAGTGAAAACAAGGGAAGGAACTCAAGTTTTTCTTCCAATACAGTCCAAAGTTCAAAACCACTTTGTTAATTCTCCTGCTGCTGACATTTCATGGATTTCAGCTTTATTTAAAAAAAAAAATCCTATTACAGCTCGTGGTGAATTTAGGCAATGACATGCATACACAGTATTCCATGCACTTTGTATATTTTTCAGGACAAGTGTACCTCTGCAATCCATGATCATTTCTTCAAATAAAGCAGCTTTTCAACTTATTAGAGAGCAAAAATAGTCTTCAGTCATAACAATGATCAATTCCTTGGAGCAATCCTCCTCCTTTGACCACCTGCTAGACAATTTTTCAGTTTGTTTCAAAGTCATTCCGTAAGGTTTACTCAGCTAGTACTAACCAGAGAAGGAGAAAGAAGCAAAAGAAGAATGAAGGCTAGGAGGAAGGTGCTCTCCAGGCATCTTTTTTATTCTGGGAGCCTTCCAAAAGTCATGTGCAATAGATGGCATCTCAGTAAAGGCCTGCACAAGAAGCTTGGCTAGATGTGCAGCCAGGACGGGCTTGAAACCAAGGATGAAATAGTGGGTAGGCTGAGAAAGGGAACAAAACCAGAAGCCTCAGGCCATGTCCAGCCTCAGCAACCGGAGGACACAGAACACAGCATAACACAGGCAGAGGACCAAGGAAGCCAGCAAAGCCAGAGTGGTACCTCAAAGCTGAACTACGGACTCACTACTGAGGAACAAGTCAAGGAGATAAGTGAAAAGGACAGGCAGTCTCTCTAAAAATGTTAATTAACTAGAAACAGGAGCCTCAACATTGTAGGAAGCACAGACACATCTGCGAGTGTGTTTTCAAGTCTCATTTAATTTCAGTATACACCCACATATCACAACAAGAGGGACATATTTTCCAATAGTTCATCCTATTTCTGAACATACTGAATTTCTTTGACATGCTACAGACACAATCTAATTCCCAAATTCATCTCTCTTCATCTCCTTCCCCCTGCAGAACCTGCTGCCTGAACAGCACTAAAGGTATGGATGCCTGCAAACAGGTGTGTGTAATTGTTTTGCTCATGTCTCAGATGGTCTGACCCCAAACAACTCCAGCCTGGAAGTGCTGAAACCATATCACCAGGGTGCCATGCCCTAGCCAACTATCTGTGCCACGAGACGAAGAAGAGAGGCTACTGCTTAGTGTCATGCTACCACAGCTTTCAGCTGCCTCGCATACTCCCAGATTGGAGGGCAGACAGAAAAGCTTGCATCTGTCAGCAGCTATCAATGTGCCCGAGGAAGTTAATCTTTGGCAGAGAGGCAGCAGGTTGTACACTGCAGTACCATGGCACCCACTGGACTGTCGGAGGAATCAAAGCATTTCTTTCCACCTCCACAATCTAGGGGAAGCGGGGCTCCAGTCTCTCTCTGCCAAGAGACAATCTGCTTCAGACACGATCCTGCCACAGAGGGAAAAAAAGTCACGCCTCGTTGCCATCAGTAGCAGAAATATTGTAAGTCCTTATCATAAGAAGGCTGTCATCACAATCCAACTTGAGACCTCTTGCTCTCTATCATTATGGCACTTTGCAGCGCTGTATTTATGCCTCATTCCAACACATTGGAGAAGAGCACTCTCACTTCTTTTGCGGCTCTGCTGAGTGTCATCATCTGCATAAAAAAAATCCAATTACAAGAGGTTTTACTGCTTAACAAACATCATCTCCATGTGCAAAACAGAAGTTATTTCTCTAGTTTGGAACTAGCCCTTATAACACTAACATAACACTAAAAGCCAAAGGAAAAGATTAAAATCATGTCACAAGAGCCTGGAGAACCACAGATATCTCGTGAATCTGATTTGGTGCACTGCTGCAGTTACCATGGTTAAAAGGTCAGCTCTCATGTATTCATTTTCACAGTCACTGTTCAGATTGAAATTTGACCTCTAAAATCGCCCAACACAAGCTGTATTTTTGGTTCTGCTTGTTCATGTAAGTCAAACAGCTGCCGGCTACTAAGCGTTCCGTAAACTGACCTGTTAATACAGAAGGGAGTTGCTCATTCCCTTCCACCTCCTCCCATCCCTCTCGCTGAAATTAGCAGGGCTGTTCACAGGCATCAGACAAAACCTTGCCAGACATGGCAGGTTGTGAGCAGGAGGAGGTATGTGAAATAAAAGTCACATCTAGCTGCTGCCCCCTGAAAAATATAACTTCTCTAGTATGGAGCAACGTCAAGTAGCCAGAGTGATGAAACAGCATCAACTTAATTCAACTGTACCAAAGGAAGACAGGAATCCACATTTCACTGTATCCCTGCAATGGTAGCAACAAAAAATAAACTTGCATGAGGGAAAAGCTTTCTGTATGATAAAAAGGAAAAGTACACTAGCAACCTGTCTTTATTAAAAGCAAGTGACCTGTGAAAGGAGTAAGAGCTGCACGTACAGTTCCCAGTATGTACAAATGCCTTAAGAGTCAGTGACTGTGATGTAGAAGATAAGGAATGAAAAGCCAGAAGGAATAAACAAGCTCAGGCAGGGATTGCTTATGGGAGCTGCTGATTTCTTCTGTCTGAGGTTTCTGTAAGCACAGCCCATTTTGCATGGGCAGGCATAGCTCTGCTCTGCAGTGAAGCCTCAGTCACAAAAGAGATTGTGATGGACATTTTTTACCCCAGGACTCCCTGCAAGGAGCAGCCTTCATATCTGACAGGTGCTTTGAGGAGACCGGCCAACACCAATGTGTCCCTGGTCTGCACTTGCTACACACATCTCTGATCAACATCCTTTACAGAGGGAGGCCCTTCTCAGCTCCCACTGCCACTGTTCTTTTCCAAGGGCAGAGAGAGAATGTCAGGACACAATAAATGGCCTTTGGACATACACATTATGTTTTCTGGAAATGCATAGTCTTGGCAATATGCTGAATATTTATATAAACAGCAGTGCTTTAGGATTTGGGGGCAGCATGCAGAGCTCTGTTTCACATGACACTGCACAGGCTGCAGGCAGCAATGCTAAACCAGTTGCATGGACTTCCTGAACTACTAAAAAGACAGGTTCTCTCTTTCATAAAAGGGCAGATTATTTCCTCTTTGGTTTGGTAACAAAGACTATACCTGGAATTGAGAAGGGTTACAGCTACAGGTAAAATCTGTAATTTTCAGTCCAGTTATTTTTAACCAGAGAAATCACTCTCTAACAATTTTTATAGTAAGTAATCTAACTATGTGTTATTCTCATGTCAAGATCTCAACTGGCTTAGAACATGCTGATATCAATCCGTGAAAATATTCCAAACTAATTCCAACATAATTCCAAAAAAGCATATCCCATGCAAAGCTTCAACAGAAGGGAATCCAGAGGCCGTAACAGTGCTTCTATTTGCCTTCACTGTAGACATGCAGTGAGATGGCTTCAGATTCAAAGTTATTTTTTAATAACCTGTTGGGTCAGAAACAGTTCAACCTCTCTCTTCATAGTTTACAAAAAGAACGCCCAGGCACACACTCTCTTGGTACCATTTTGCAACAAATACCCTTGCACATACTTTGATAAGTGAACAGATAACTCCTCCAATCCTGCATAGCTGGTTGATCATTTAACTGTAAACAAATGCCCACTTACCACTTAAGCTAATCTGAACACGATGAAAGTCACCAGTCACATAGCTACTCATCTATGCTGTATTTTCTAGGGCATGAAAAACCCCTCAGTTTTGGTCAAGCTTTACAGAAGTCTTTCCCTTGCCATAATAGCCAACTGGCACTTCTTTGCCCTAATCAAAAATTATAATGGGACTAAACTGAAGCTTCTTGTGCAATACAGGTAAACTTAGCTATGAAGACAAGTCACAGTTGGATGGACTTTTGCAGAACTGGGTTCATAGGTTACACCACTAACTTTATTTAGAAAGTTTAGTGGGTAAATCTGCTAAGTGAGAATATCCATCTCATTTGCCTAGAAAGTACTGGGAGGATTTTGCATTTCTTGTGGGAAGCAGGAACAGACTAAACTTTCCACAAACACCACAAACACCACTGTTCACAAAGCACATCAGTAGTTCCTGGCACAATACACCAATATGACCTTTGTGGGGATGTAGAACAGCTAAGGTGTGACTTATACTAAATTTACACCTAAACTGTGATTTATGAGAAAGAACATAATTAAATACAGCTCATAAGTCAGAACTGGTGAAATGTAAAAGACCCCAAAGAAAGCACAACAATGACCAGAAAAAAAGGGACTTTCTAAAAGAACAGCACCTTTCTACATGACACTTCCTGAACACTATCCTTGGGCACCAGAAAACTTTACTAAATAGGGAAGGTATTTTACACAGCTCACATATAACCTTATTACAGCTGAAATGTCTGCACTCAAGGTAAAGCACAAAGTTCTTCTCCAGTGCACCATCAACACTCTGTACAGCCCAAAACACAAAAGAAAGAAAACACATGGTAGTGTTCTCCCTCCCCCGGGAAAATGGCTAAACTTCCTCTCCTCTGAAGGCAAGAAAAGTGGAAGGGAGTGTGTGAGAACTTTGCACCATCTTCCACTAGGGATGCATGTCAGAGCACGTGTTCCTTCTCTGCATCATGCATCACATATGCTCTTTACAGTAAGGCAAGCAAATCTCTAGTAATATTTACCCACCCATTTTGCAGCTTCTTAGGAAAACATAAAGAAGTATCGACTGCCTGCAGCAAGAGGGAAGAACTGCCACTGACCCACACGGTCAAGAACAGGGCCAACCACCCCTCATTCAACATAACATCACCAGAGAAGAAATGTATTACAGACAGATGAATTAGATTTAAACTTACACAACTCTCTGTTAAATGATTTCTCAACTTTCCACAGAGGAGGTGGTGTTCTGTCCTATGGTTGATCCACTACTTGAAGGTGGGTGAGGGGCGTGAAAAGAAAGAAAGAAAGAAGTCTTCCAGGTTGTGTGCTACAACACCGAACAAAAGATAAAGTCTGCTGATACTTGCAGACTGTTTCCTTTTTTGATGGGACATTACATAGAGAGAAGCAGAAACTTCGACAATGTATGGTTTTGGTCCAATTTGATTAGTAGATGAAGTTGTAACTTTTCAGAGTCCATTACAATGAAACTGCCAGAAACCACCCCAGCAAACAGAATCAAAATTCTGTCCTACATAGACAGCAGCTGTTGTCTACAAGTTTGCTCAAAGAAACCAGCTGATCATTTCAGTTTATATTCAGCAGATACAACTGGATAAGAAAATCATAAATAGTCCAGACTTTACAAGCACATAAGAAGCATTTTTCTGCCTCTTGTAAGAATTGCACATCTGGGAGCAGGTAAGAGCTAAAGTCAAAGGAAATGAGGAACAAAGTAGGTAAACCAAGAAACCAGTAATCCAGAAAGAAAGTGCATTGAAGGACTGATATTTTACCTCTTCACTTACCCTGGTAAAGCTGAATGAACCTGGGATGTAAGGCAGACGTGATAATCCCATCTGGCAACTCTCTCAAAAATAATTTCAACAGGCTGGCTGCTGAGTACACATCACCATCTTTAACAAGTTCCACTTCTTCTCCACGTTCGTACTGCAGACGCAACTGCTCCACCATTTTCATGCTGCCATTTACTCTGAAGAGACCTTCCTGCGTCATACCTGTAATTATATATTGCAGGTAAGACTGATCAGAACTAAGACATCCCAGTGACACGATGAAACAGATATTTAGTGTGAATAATACACATGTAGTAATATAAAAGAGAGCAATTAATACACCACAGTTTAAAAAAAGTACTACTTTGCCCCAGAAACCCCCTCTAGTCAAGTAGTTGGATTAGGATAAATAACGAATACTAGTGACAAGATCTTGAGGCCTGGGATACTCTTTTGAGAATCCACAAAACTCAGTGGCATCGCTGTAACCTCACGGAGAAACCAATTAAGACAGACATATTTTGTATTGGTATATTTCAAGAGAAAAGGATCCCAAAAAGGACTCTATAGAACAGTTCCATTGTTTCATTTTTGCAAGTAGCCCATTATCTTGAGCAGGACTCTGCCAAACTCACACCATGTGACTACTGTCAGCTTCATGTTTCAGGGTAACAGGTTCTTACGCGTGACCATCGTGAAGCAAAAACATCTGAACATATGCTGACTGCAGCAGTAACTACATTATGAGTACTGCAACTTTATGATAGTAAGAAATCTCAGTGAGCAAATATGTATTTTGGACAGCACAAAGACCAAAGTATTTCACAATGAAAAGAAATGGTATCGATCACCACAGGTTAGACAACTCACACCCAGTGAAGGAGATGTAGAAAGAAGGAGGCTTTGACAGAGCAAGCCAGACAAATCATACTATATCTAACATCATTTTCTAGGCATTTGTTGAGATTCATAACCACCTGTGAAGAGCCTAAAACTGAACTCAGTAAATTAATTTTCCTCTAGAACACTTTCACCACAAACATTCTGCCTTTTCTAATACTGTCTATATTCCTGCTTGTTCTTCTTCAGAAATATAACACTAAAAGGATCGAAATATATATGGTTTTCATCAGTTCAGACTAGACATCATGAAACAGCAATCTTAACAGAATGTTTCCAGTCCAGGAAGTCAATTCTAATGCAGCAGAGTTTGTAGAGAAAAATAATCTCTTTTATTGGACCAGAAGACAAATGGCTCTAGTAAGAGGAAAAAAATGGACAAGCACTCAAACATTTTACTCGACTACTATGAAATAGTGCTGACAGAATTCGTTTTCCTGTATTCACAAGGAAATCCATTTTTATGTGGCATGCTGTGCTGCCATCTCGAGGGCAGAAAACACCTCATCTCAATCATGATTTTCATTTTTGCAGCACTGAGTGAGCAAAGAATACAGATCAAACTTCCTTTCCTCTTCCTCAGTCATTTATAAAAATAAAGAGAGGCTAGAACATCCTGATAACAGCAATCAGACAGTACTAAATACAGAAGAGGGAAATTTCACTTCATCTATAAATTTGGAAATAGGCAGCTTAATGCAAACTTAGTTCAAGGATGTATCTGCCCAACAGTCAGCTCAGACTGGTTCTCTGGCCCTCTGTTAAAAACGTCTTCACAGTTAACTTTGCCATTAATTCACAAAACAAACCTTATACAGGCACAGGACGCTCATTTCAAGAACTTCTTCCCATGTAAGAGAATGTCTTTGAGATCTAGCTTGAGCTTTTGAGAAGGAGAATGGATTGTATCTTTATTGGGGTTGGATAATCAACTTGGCATTCAGAAGCCCAGCTAATCTAGCTGCAGAGTAGAAAACTTGGCTTGTTTAGTCCGTATTTGGGACACAGTTGTGTGGGATTCTGATCTTTTTATGGAACACAGAGTGCAGCCCACAACTTGCAGTCAAGAGCGTTTGTCAGCTTCTGGTTTTGATTAAATCCTAACTGATGCAAAACTTTTTCCATCCTTGCTCTTTCAGTGTTCTAGCAAACCACTTTAAGGCAAGTTGAAATAGATCAAGCAAGATGCTGCTGTGTAAAGGTAGGACCACGTTTTAAATTTGCACTGTACCCTAATCCAAGCTAACTTTCAAGCCATGATTGCATCTATCAGCTTCTGAGGATCTATCAAGATACTGCCATGGAATCTAAGGCTCTGCAATTGGATTATCATTACTGAGTAGGTAGAAGAAAAACCTTAGGGTAAAACCAGATGCAACTTCTTACAAGATGAAATTATCTCCACAAAACCTTTTCCATTGCTGACCAAGCGCCACAGAATACATCTGTGCATCAGTGGTGCTCTAGATTTCTGCAAGATTTATTTCAACAACAAGAAGTAAAGTCCCATTAAATGAGTGCGAAGAGGAGCTAAGAATTGAACACCTACCTCCTTGAGGGGATTCATAACTAGAATCTATCTGAAAACCAGCAAGAACATGTACTCCTTTTCAGTAATGTTCTCTGATTGGGGGGAGGAGAGGGGGTATCTGTGAATACCTCTGTATAGATACCTACATCTTCTCACTGTCAAAAAGTGTTAAAGACAAATGTTTTGCAACTAGAAAACAACACAAACCTTCACAAACAGAATACATTCTATTTATAAACTGAACATCTTGTTTATGAGAGTGTGTTGCTACTTAACACTGTAGTTTACCTTTATAAACATATTAAAAAGTAAATTCAGCATCAAAGCAGGAAAAAAAGAAAAAAGGAAGCAAACTATATACAGTAATATTCTTTGTCTGTGGTTAGTACCACAAAAAGAGACATATCTTCCCTTTGAAGAGTCTTACACAAAGAGTGCAACTAAGCAAAAGTGATTCCACTAAGCTTACCATGTTGAGTGAGGTACTCGACTATATTCCACACAACTATTGGGATACCGTTTTTGCTCAGTCCCTGCTGCTGGAGCTCCAGAAGACTCACACCAAACACCTTTGGACAAGTTGAGTCCCTCTGCTTGTTCAGTGGAAGCACAGCTATCTTTTTCATGTCCTCCTTCAATCTCACAGCCGTTTTGCTTTGCTTAAAGGAGTAGAGGAAAAAAAAGTGGATTAGTCACATTTCCTGCAGAAGGTTGCACAGTCACAACACAAGCACACGTATCAAAACTGGCTTTTACACTCCAGAATAAGGTTTTGGTCTTACTTTCTTTTAATCTACAGGAAAAATACCTGTGAAGTAGGAAAAGAAAAATTAACAGAGAAAGAAACTGGAAAAGGAACAAGAAAAGCGTGTAGGTAGTCTGTAGTTAACAGAGAAAGACTTTTGTAGGCAAGCTTGTTACTAGAATAACAAGTAACTACGAGTCACAGGAGACTGCTCCTGTAACTCATGAAGTTCACATGGATTACAAAAGCAACCGGACAAACACAAAGAATCCCAACACACCACCATTAGTTCAGCTTGTCTCCAGGATGCCTGTCAGGGAGTGTACTCTGGGGAAGGTTTACTACACCCTTCTTCCAAATGCTATTCATTAGGGATTCATTTTGGCCACTGTCAGGTGAGATGGACCCTTTTGAAAGATTTTACGTTATGTTTAGTATCTGCTAAGTCTGAAATTTAATTACTGAGGTTTTAAGCTTAGAAACGGACTATGTAATCTAATCACACATAATAAGGGGGGTAGAAAAACAACTCCACAATAAACCCTTAATCCCATAGGTTCTTCTGGAGGCACAACATTCTCAAAAGTTTTGAGTTGCAGTGGCAGGGAAAACACAGGAAGACAGTCAATGAAACCCAGAGGAATAAAATAACACATGATAAATTTATAGGATCCATAATAGGCAGAAATCTAAATCAGCCTACAGCACTGACATTTGGAAAGACCGTTCAAGGCAGAGCAGCAGCATCACCCATCACAGTTGTGATCACACTGCAGGAACTGGGGGCCACTGCTACCACAGAGTTCGAGCTCTTTGTCCACCACTTGCATGGTGCTTAAAAATGAACTTATTCCTACTGTGTTTCATTAACAAATCGCTAGTAGAAACATAGAGAATACTGTATGGTAACACAAAAATGTGCTCAGACTCTTGACTAAGTCTTGGCATTTTATTGTATTAAGACAGATTTTAGCATGGTATACATGTTTTATTTTAAAAAAACTTTAAAATCTCTTCAGTTGTGAGTCTATATTTTTACTGTAGCCTGTAAGCTACATGAACATCTGCATCGGTGCTGCTATTAAACATGACTGTCCTTCTTTCAGACATAAAATGATATGGTAGTTCACCCACTTTCCTGTGCTTTTTCCATTAAACACAGCTATTTGAAGCACATGTGTGTTCTACAGTCCCAGGTCCTATGCAACACACCTGATATTTACAAAAGACATTGTTTATATAAACATCATAAATATGTTTTACTATTTGTGAAACAGAATTGCAACATTGCATTATTGTGACCACCTTATAAATATTTATGATAAACAGTACACTTACCAGTGTTTGAACTAAAATCTGACCGACATTAAAATACCACATTTCTTTCAAAGAGACATGTTCCCATTCAAGATTAATGAATAATAAATGATTTTTATCCCAGGCAGATACACGCCAAGGGAAAAATCATCTAGCCTAGGTTAAATTCAGAAGACAGCAAAAATCCTTTGAGCAGTTTCTGAGCAGCTGTGATGCTCAGAGAGCTTTTCCAATTAAGGCCTTCAATTAGCCTCACGATCTTGCTCAGTTACAGCATTTCCAGCCTGTTTCAGCATTCGAAAACCTGAAGAACTGAGCTGAACTTACTTGGGGAAACTCACTATTTAAATTTGCATGAGAACTAACAGACGTTTCCCATGTTTCTGGAAACATGGGAACTGAGAAAATTTTCGAGCTTGTTTCACGACCTGGAGAGGCTGCACTAACTAGAGAACAAAAAATTACGCGGTAATCCAGAATACACATCTAACCAAAATCAAAATAAAATCATCCCCTCAAAACAGCTCTGAAACAAAGAGTTCAGTGTTACGTTGCCTTATAGACGGAAGATCCGACTTTACACTGTGAAAACGTGTCCAAACATTAATGCCACTGTTAGTGATCACAAGACTGGGAAAGCAACTTAAATCATCCCTGCACGATGCCGCCAAAAAGTGCCGCCCAGACACATGGAGAAAAGCTATTTATACGCCACAGGGACGCACTTTTACAGCTCATCTAGGAACTTTAACGCGGGGAACACGGCAGCGCAGTTGCTCTCTGGCTTAAATGGGGGGGGGGGGGGGGGGGGGGGGAATAAGACCGGCTGGAATTGTCTTTATTAATCTTCTCCTCTCCCAAACGAGAGAGCTGCCGAGAGGGAGGGAAGGGAGAGGAGGGGAGCGCTCGGGACGAGCAGAAAGCGCAGGGCCCAGGCCAGGCTCTCCTCCCCCGGCCCCGCGACGGACCCCGGCGGGGCGGGCGGGCGGAGGCTCCTCCAGCCGCCATCCATCCCCCTGCTCCCTGGCCGCGCTCCGCAGCCGCTCCCCCGGCAGCGCCGCCCCGTCCCCGAGCCCGTCCCGCCGCCAGCCCCTACTCACGCGTACGGCCAGCGCCCCGGCCCCCATCTCGGCTCCCGCTCCGCCCCGGCAGCCCGCCCTCGCTGCTCCCGGCGGGCCCCTCCCGGCGAGAGCCGCGGCCCCGAGGTGCCGCCCGCCGCCTCGGCCCGCCCCGCGGCCCGCGTGGGGAGCGGGGTCGATCCCCCGCCTCCCTCCGGAGCGGCCGGGAGGGCTCGGCGGGGGCGGCTCTGCCTCCTGGAGCCTCCCCGGGTCATGGCGGCCGGGCCACGGGCCCGGCGGCTGCACCGGGCGGTCCCTGGGCATCGCCGCTCGGAGCCCGGTGCCGGGCGGGGAGGGAGAGGAGCCGCTCAGCCCGTGTGCGAGCCCGGGCTCGGGCGCAGCCGGGCCGCCGCTGGAAGGGTCTCCGCGACGCCGCGTTCAGCCCGGTAACGTTAGCGGGGCTGCGGGAGGAATCGCAGCCGGGCAGCCAGGGAAAACAAACCTTCCTGCGCCATGGCACTGCCAGGGGCCCTGCGGAGCACGGCGCGGGGCAACGCGTGGCCTGAGTTTGGAAGGTGTGAAGCAGTGCAAGCGTAGCCCCCGTCCTCCCTGTGAGTGTCCATCTAGGGATACGTTGGTGAAAGAAGTGAAAAGTTAAAGCAAAAAGTGGAGGGCAGGACACTCTTCACATCTAGCGCCTTCCGGCAGTCACGGCATGGTGGTGGTGGGAAGAAGAATTCACTCCCACGTCGCCCTTCTCCCGGTCGCCGCAGCCTGGAAGCAGTGTTTGTCCTAGAAATTAAAAGTGCATTTCAAAACAGAACTGTAGAGTTCTGGTGTTTCAAATTTTCGACTTTTGTTTGTTTGTTTGTGGAAGAAAAGCGCCCACATTTTTATTTCTGTATCAGATGCAAGCACTGCTCGGCAGGGCCTTAGCATTGGGATAGGAGCAAAGGTCTTTGGAAGGCGTCTCTCAGAAATACCCGCTTCTGGTACATGGACAAAAGGAAGTCTGTCCAAATAGAGTAAACGGAAGGAAAAAGAAAATTTTATCAAACCTTCTAGATGAGGAAAATGCTACCTGCAGATCTGAGTTCTCATGCACAATTTCTATTTTATTAAGAACTGTAATCACAATCTCCTTCATGCTCAGTTTTTGTTTTCCTCTCTAAGGCAGTCTAACCCAAAATGACTAATTTCCAAGTTGGCACGTGTACAACAGAAAGTTAGACTTAGTGATAGTTAATTTTGGTGTTTTAATTTCACTTTAGGACTCTTAAAGTGAATTGATGTAACAGCCTCCTCCATCCTCCTCTTTACTGTAAGCCTCTAATGTACTTTTCACATAGATCACAGACTGCTCTTTTCTTCTTAGTCCTAATTGCAGCTTCACCATGAAAACCAATGGCATGCTTCAAGCCGTAAGCCAGAGAGGGAATGATGAGAAACTGCAGCTCTCTGGAGACTTCACTTGGGAGTGAAGAGTCCAGACATGAACCCACAGTAAACAGAAGCTACGGTGTTAAGGTTTCATCAATATATGTTGACAGGTAGCAGGAACATCCTATAAAAACCAAGATCAGAACACAAGTATTATCATCTCTTAATCAGAGCCTTGAAAGTCACGCTTCTGCTAAGTCACTGGAGCACTTGGGGTTTTAATATGCTGGTAACTTTTCTCTGGGTTAATAAAGACACTTCTGGACTTGCTTAAAGTCTTGAGAGAGCTGAAGACCAGCATACTCATCTCCTGTGTGGCAGAAGAGTCAAAACCAGACTGAAACTTCCTCAATGCCTTTATCCCCTCACAACTTTTCCTCATCAGCACCCCATGGGGCCAATGACCCCTGTGCAGGGCAGAGTAAGATTCACCTGAACTTTTCCTAACCCCAGCCTAGGAGTAAATACATTCCTTCTTGCGCCTTTCACCCTTCCCACAGGGACATGTTTCCATATATCCTGATGTTCTTCTCCTCCCTTTACTGAACCACCACCCTTCAGGATGACGATTCAAAAGAAAGGTGTGATGAATGGGGAACAATAGTATTCTGGCACCACAGAAATCAGCCAAGACCTGCTGTGGTATTTGACTGTAGGTTGCACCCTACTCAGGAAACCTTCACTGTTTTCCTTTAAGCAATTCAGAAAACCCTTAGAAAACAAAAAAAGTCAGAAGCAGCCACGCCTATCACAGAGAAACAGAAAACTCCCAAAACCCAACAATAAAAAAGCATACCTCTGTTCCTCTGAAATGCTATTTCATTTTTTCTGGCTAAGGTGTTGCATCAAACAGCTGTCTCTTCCCTTTTCTACTCCTGAGGAATTTTATACTGCATGAACAGAACAACTGCAGGATGCGTGCATATTTATGCAACTTGTCATAAACTATGTCTAGAGCCATGAGAGCTCAAATCAGAGCAAATGCATTGTGAAAGGCTGATGAAAAGTCTGTGAGACCCACCAGTTGTGTATCCCTAGCTTTTGTGACATATCATGCCTACCTTCCTTGAGCCACACAGTTGTTTCCTTTAGTTCTCAACTATGCTGTTATCATCCGTGTGCAAGAATAGCTCAATGGCTTTTTAACATGCCTGTCTTTTTAGGGGAGCCAAGAGAATATATTCTCTACCTGAGATACACACCTCCATCATTTACTCTCTAATTCCACATAACTGCTAAAAGCTAATGTAAAAACATTGCAAAGGACAGGCTAATAAAATCATGCAATGAATCAATAGAGGAAGAAAAATATTTTTTTTCCCCTTCCACTTGTTTACAAATAAGGCATTTAACCTCAGATGTTGAAACAACATTCCCGGAGGGAAAGAACAGCTGGGATAGTGTTAGAAGTTCAAAGGAACTGCCTCACACCATTTCTGTGAGTAATGCCTTTGTCTCTGTGATACCATATGTTGCTTAACCTGACTATTATTCATCATTTCCATTGTAACATCAGAATTCAGCACTCATTTCATAACAGCTCACATAAAAGCAAGGTGAAAAGAAGTGAAAGAAGTGTCTACTGCCAGCTCTGGGATCCTTGAACATTACTGTTTCCTCCTGTTTAGCCGAGGTAGCCAGCTGCGGAATATTTGCTGTGACCTTCCAGGGCACTCACGAGAAGGCCAGCCTAGCTAAGCATGGGGCATACTCGAGTGACCTGCATAGGGTAAGACCTGGCAGCTGCAGGTGACAGAAGGAGACAAATCAAGAAATCAAGAAACATGCAAGAGCAGCTCAAAATTGCCAAACTAACACGTTAGAGTAGGTTTAGATTACATATTAGGAAAAAACTCTTTTACTGTGGGGGTGGTGATGCGCTGGAACAGGCTGCATACAGTGTTTAGGTCCTGGTTGGGTGGAGCTCTGAGCAACCTGGTCTAGTGGAAGGTGTTCCTGTCCATGGCAGGGGGATTAAAACTAGATGATCTAGAGGTCCTTTCCAACCTGGGCTATCCTGTAATTCTATGATCTGGCTGACAGGTTTGTCTGCATCAAGTAACTAACCAGAACTTCTCATCCAAAAAGCAATGACAAGACACCTTTTTAAAAAGAAAATTAAAAGGCATGCAATAAAAAGCATGTGATTTACTTCAATCAAGACGTCTATGTGAAGTATTGAAGTATTACTGAACTGCTTAGACTCTGAAATACAGCTATAATGGTAAGGAACCAAGGAAAAATAAATAGCTATCAAATACCTGAGTCCAAATTAATGTATAGTTTAAGCAGCAGGGTTACCAGCCTACTGAATCAATGAGATGGAGGCAGTCATACTAATTATAAAATTATTTCAAATAATACCAAGTTTCTTCAGGCGTACCTAATTGCAAATTTAAACATGTCTAAATTGACATTTGTAGATTTGGTGATCTCAGCAATTTTTCTGTAAAAACAGTAGTATCGTAAGACTGTGTGATAATTTAGGTTATGATCTGGGAAAAACTGGATTTTTAAAACAGCAATAGAATACCAAGAGCAAGAGCTGCTGCTGCCACACCAGCTTCTGGCTTGTAGCACAACAGAGAAATCTCTCATCTCCCCAAATCAAAACTACAACAAAGCAATCAGTTTTTGCCTGGGCAAATTGCTATGCCTTCATGAAGCCATAGTAAAAACCACCACGGTTGTTAAACTTATGTGGGAGAGTAAAAGCATAAAGCATGTTACACAATTTCTGCCTAAATGCAATGCAAGCTGTCTGACAGCCAGACTGCTCCTGAGGATTTTACTTCTCTGTAATGCAGCCTACGCCTTTGTTGCAAAGAAAGAGGGGAGCAAAGACACACGAACACTTAGGCTCAGCCTGCCAGTAGTTGGGGCTAGCAGCACGGTCCTGTATCCTGGTCTCCTGGGTAACCAGTGCTGGAGGACACAAAATAAACAAATATTCAAACAAACTAACTTCGCCAGGCAAAATGTGCTTTCTCACCTGGCAGCTGCAATTTGATCAGTTTTCTGTGGACGGTTGCTTCTTAATGATGATGCCTGCCCTTCAGTGGCACTAGACCAAAATACACTGGGTTTTGGAGTCAGAATAAGGATGACTTTCCCCAGGATGTTGTTCTTGTAAGTGGATTAAACATCTTAAATATGTAAAACTAGTATTAATTTTGGAGGGTTTTGTTGCTTTTGTGAAAAAATACGTGTCTACCTTGCACTTCCACCTGAAAATCAGACAGCGAAGGGACTAGAAACTATCTCATTTTCCCTTCATTGTGTTGTCCAAATGAAGAAACACCAAAGTCCACTGGGCAGCAGATGGAGGACAGAAAATTAAACCAGCATTTTTGAGCACTCTTTTACTGAAAGATGGAGCATGGATTTGTTGTGTGACTCTTTTCCAATGTAAACCCTACAGAAACGGCAGGTTGAATTTTTAATGTCTTCACGGCACCTTTGCCCTTCAAGGCAGGGGAGGATGTAGGAGAAAGAGGAATCTTATATGAAAGTTACGATTCCAAAGTAAAAAACCAAATTGTTGTTCTTGAAACACAATTTTGAGTTTTACCAGCCCTTGAATAATGTTCTGCTGCTCAACATTATCTATGACAACCCATTTTACTTATGCAAAATTTCCTTTAGAAAAAGTCAATATTTGTTGGGGGCATTCATTACTACATGTGACTCCTCTGAAAACAGAACACTCTGAATGACAAGTACTTCATCATATAAACAGCACTGCAAAAGAAAGCACAGAAATAATCAGTGGTGATAAATAGGAGAAAGGATTTATAAATAAATTCTTTTTTATTGTAGGTCAACAATGAAAAATGTCCAGTACCTACATTTTGATATAATAGTTTCAGGGTGGGAGAGATATTTTTTTTAAGGTTTAT